AGAGTAAGCATCAGCATTTAATTGTTGTTGCTAGAAAAGTTTGATTTGTTGATGTTTTGAAATGTTTGCGAGATTGAAGTTTTGTAATAAGTGTTCAATGCTTACAGAAGTGTTCTGAGTTTTGTGAAGTGTTCACTGCTGTAGAGTTTTGTGAAGTGTTCACTGCTGTAGAGTTTTGTGAAGTGTTCACTGCTGCAAAGTTTAGCATTTGATACACTGGGGTGGGTGATGGTTGAACTACTGCCTAGTACTTTATCTGGGACATATGCACATGCAGTGGTTAAGTGATTCGATTCAAAATGGCCGACTGGCAGCCATCTTGTTTTTTGAAAATGTTGTATTTTGGACATGCTTTGTCAGTTTTCATTCAAATTTGGTACATAGATTATACATGTTAGGATACATGTCCATGACGATTTATTTCACAATTGGATCAAAGATGACCGACTGGCAGCCATCTTGTTTTTGAAAATGTTGTATTTTGGACATGCTTTGTCAGTTTTCATTCAAATTTAGTACATCGATCATACATGTTAGGATACATGTCCCCGACCATCTGTGAGTTCCTGAGTCTGTCTGTCCGTTCGTGCGTCAGTCTGTCAATAGTAATATTTCAGAATCCTGTGGACCGATTCCGTTCATTCTTTGTATGTACCTAGTACCTTATGTGGGACATATGCACATGCAGTGGTTTAGCGATTCGATTCAAAATGGCCGACTGGCAGCCATCTTGTTTTTTGAAAATGTTGTATTTTGGACATGCTTTGTCAGTTGTCATTCAAACTTGGTACATAGATTATACATGTTAGGTTACATGTCCAGTACAATTTATTTCGCAATTGGATCAAAGATGCGGTTTCTTGGAAGTGCTCTCTCGGTTTTCATTCAAATTTGGCACATACATGTACTTTATACATGTTAGGATGCATGTCCATAACAATTTGTTTCAAAATCTGGTCAAGGATGGCCGATTGACAGCAATCTGACTTTTTGGCCTTACTACTATATTTCCACAATTTATGTACCATTTTCATTCGTATTTGGCACATACATCATACATATCAGTGTGTTTCATAATCAGATCAAAGATGGCTGAATAACGGCTGTTTTTATTTTTGGCCATATTACTACTACACGGAACACGTGTTTTGATGTAAATAAACAATCTGTTGTATACGCCACTTGTTTTTTGTAATTTGATTCAATATGACTGCCCAATGTCCAATTCTTGTGTAAAAGCGCTAAATCATAATTTTTTACAAATCCATCTTCTATTAATGGTTTCAATCTAATCTCAATGACTTCATCAGCATCAAATTGATATGTCAGATCACAAAATTTGGGACGAGGACTGTGTCATTAACAATGACTTGTTTCTGCTATTCTCTTATAAAATATTATTATTTTCTTTTTCTCTGAAGATTTTTTAAAACTTCTTACTGTTGATTTGTCACCTTAAATGTTTTACATTGTATGGGACGAATTTTGATTTGGAAACTATTCAGACCTTGACTTATTTCAACATCAGTGGTTATTGTTCACCTGCCAAATCTCTTATTCACAAAGTCTGTTTTTAAACTGCCCGTTGTTATGTTATCTAACTTCCTGTGCGTTGCTCCCACCTTACAAATCTCTGAAAAAAATTAAAAAAGCAATTCCACTTAGATTTTGTCTTTCAGGCACGGAACTCATCATCATTAGGTCCTTAGAGTACTCATAGAAATGTGTTTGCATTCACACAAGCCAATCCCATTTCTCATTAAACAAGTCCACTTGTATTTTTTTGTCAATACCCACCCCAGACCCCTGGGTTTCAAAAAAAGAAGGAAAAACTATTGAATTCTGTGAACGAGAGGATTTTGTTCAAATAATGTCATTATAAGCAACACTGAAATGACAATGGTGATTCAGTGTTGATGGCCTGTTATTGAAAAATAGCTATTAAACATTCATATCTTGATAAGTTACCCCTGGCTCTTTAAAACCTAATTACCCAGCATGCTATGGGCCTTGATTGATGAGGACTAAGGTAATAATGCTTTGTCAATATTGTCAGTTGGAAACACTGCTTGTTAAACTAAAAGGAATTCGTTGATTAAGTTCTGTTCGGCTTGGATGCTGTTTCATAATAACTGATGTTTCCAATGCCTGAAACGTACAAATGAAATGTTTGTGGATATTTTAATAAAAGTTTCTCAACTTTTTTTTTCATGGATGCTTGCAGTGTTTGCTGTTGGTGTTAATATTAGTAAAAAGAAAGTGCATACATCTTTAACAGGTTTTTCAATTTTATGGAAATTACCTTTATGATACTAGTATAGTTTTTTTGCGTTTTGTGGCTAATTAGTTTTTACTTTTACTGAAACCTGAATATTTTGCCTTACAAGGACAATCCAATTTGTTATTCTTGGCTTCATTTTTAAGTATCATGCTTGAATTTGTCAAATCTCGAATAGAACTGGTTTAGTTTTACATGTTTTGATCGAAATGCATCCTTTTTCAACTCCATCCATGTCCTATACTCATGGGATAGATAATCTTTACAATGTAAAGATGTATCTTCCAGTTGTTGCCATAGTAACTGTAAAGATGAGGATCACAGTTGATGAGTGACAATGCAATCAGAAAGAAAACATCCAATTTCTCATCAAATATGTAATTGTGACATTCACTATCAATCGCAAGCTTTCCAGCTTTCAATTATGTCTTGAATTTTTCATGAATTTTTAATAGCGTATTGAACTTGAAATCAAATTCCCAATTGTCACTCCGAAATTGTTTGTTGCTGGTTTTCACACTGGCGAATTACCAGCAATAAGTAAATTAATAATGAGAGTTGGCTGGTTTTAAACAAAATTTGTTTCACCCCTGAAGGCACAATTTCTTTTGTTGCTGTTACTGATTTGTAAAAACTTCTTAGAGGTCAAAATAAGAGGAGTCTGATGTCCTAAAATTATCTCTAAAGCTCTCCTATAAACTTAACAAGGAGTCTGCTTGGCTCCATGTATACTTCATTGCTGCCACATTAATTTCCGACTACATACTCAACCTCATACTATGATTTCACAAGATCTTCCTTCTTTCCTAGCATTTCCAATGGTTGCCATCGCTATCCTTACCTCCATATCCTCCTCATAATTCATGCTCCATCGTAATCTTATTTTGTCACATGGACCTTTTTGTTTTAAACCGCACTCAAAATGTGTACATTGAAATTTTAACAACAAGAATGACAATCTGGTATTATAGGTATTAATCGGAT